TCTCTTCCGCACGTAGGAATAACCATTGTTAAAGTATAAAAATGTACTACTAACCAGTACTCAACCAAAGGACACAAAAGAGAAAAAGATCAAATAAACAACGTTCAAAAAGATATTACACAACATGTTTTAAAGTACTGCAGCAAAATTAGTATTATTGATGAAAGTGAGGCTGTGTCACTAAATCCAACAGGACAAAGCCAGTTGAAACAGCTACTAGTTAAAACTATTTATCATGAGAATTAGACACACACAAAAAAAAGACCCTGTCCTTTAATAGACTCTGTGAAGACAGATCTCTCTGGGTCCTTTGACATCAGTTGAGCTCCACCACACAAATAATAAATTACAAACAACAGCATAGTGAAATAAAAGGTAACTCTAAATCTATTTTTTAAAAAAAGCATCTAAATACCTTAACACTCGGTACAAATGACATATATCAAAAAGGTAGAAGTTAAAGTCAAACCAATTCTACACAAACAGTAAAGGAGAAATTTAGAAGAAAGTTAGGATAAAAAAACAGCAGATAATTATATTAAGGAATACACATTTTTAAAAGATTAGTATAAAAGCTGCTAAAGGTTAGAGAAAGAAATTGGAGCATGCACAAAAGATGACAAAGTAAGATGCTAGTAAAAGAAAAAAGATTTCTAGGAGAATGACAACACATGCAGTCAAATATAGCAGCCGCATCAAAAGAAGTTTTGTACCAATTAAAGTCTCAAAGAAAGAGAAAAAGATCGAAAGTTGGATAGGTTACCCTAACATCTTCGAAAGCATCCAAAGAAATTACAGACACCACGACTGATCTTTAAGAGAACAATACAAAAAGGACTAAACTAAGGAAAAGAGCAAATAGTTTTTCTTTCCTTCTCCTCCTCTTTTTAGGAATGTGTACTGAAGAACATTAACAGAAGGAAAAAAAAAAAAAATCCATAGAAAGATTCAATGACAGTGAGATGAAAGCAAAATCCTAAAGTTAAATAAGCGCTGACGTTTCAAGACACCTGAAGATAGAAAAGCAACATAAAGCAGTGCTGTTTTGTAAAATGCAATTCTTTTGACAGCTGGTGACATTTGAGGAAATAAGCCAAAGCCTACAGGCCTCAAATCCAACACTATCGCTTTGCATTTTGATGCAGTATTTTACCCAATGCTGAACCATAATTTCACATATTTAAGTTTATTAAGCATTAAACTATCTTCCCTTTGATTAAAAAGAGGGAGAGGGGACAGAGTGTAATACTAGGTTAGTAAGGTTAGAGTGTCATGTTGTATTATAGTGAGGAGGTCAAGGATGAAAACAAACATCACCACTGGAAACAATGCTGGTCACTTCAGACAGATTAACAACGCCAAGAAGCTGCCATGCTACGCAGTAAGGAATGCTTCATAGGAAGTCAGCACAACTTTAAAACCCCAATGTCTGCAGTGTTCTAGTCTTTGCATAAGGAAAACAGGAGGATCTGGGCTTTAGGTGTGACTTGACAGTAATTCAGAGTCCAGAGGAACCAGTCACCCTGCAAAAGGGCTTCTTCCAAACGCATTAAAGAGCGTACTATCAATACTACCCTCACCAGTCCAAGACATGTCCAATCTAAAAACAGCACATATGAAGGATTATACAAGACGTTCACAGCTGATAATGACATGCAGCCATACGGACTCTGCACCAAATCCAGAACTGACAACATTTGCAGATAAGATAGTCCAACATACCCAGTCTAAAGATGCACACTGATGGAAAACCGTAACTTCAGGTGAACTACATAGACACAAATGTCAAAGCAGATGGGATAAAAGCTACAAGAAAAAATAAGGAAGAAAACTGAGGTGCACGTCAGCTGCACACATGGCACTGTGCAGACTGAAATAACTGAATTTTAAACTGTCAAATACTATTTATCAAAAACTTGCCTTCACACAGTATTTCTTCTTCCTCAGTATTTTCTAGCTGGATAGTATTTTCCATTCTCTATGAATTATTTTCAAGGTAGCATTTAGGTGTTGCTTGTCTAATTTAAAACAAATGGCAAGAGTGAGCAAGTTTGGGGAAATCTTCCCTGCAAAACAGAATGCATCACTTCTTTGTCAGGCCTGATGAAAGCACTGTATTCAATAAAAGCCAGGTAACTTTTTCCAGCAATATCTGTTGATCTAGTAGAAGACACCAGTATGCCCTATGAACCTTGCTTGCTGTACTTCACAAGGCTTATGCAAAATCCTTTCAATTATTTTGGATTTATACATCAACAGATTTTCCCATCAGCCTGGGAGAACAATTCAATACCGTGTGAACTCTGGTATTTAGAACCTAGTATGAGAATGCGTAAGTACATATAACAAGAGTAGGAAATCCCATTCAGCTATTAGTAAGTGCACTTGCATCTGGCAGGCATACATGAATAGATAATAGGCAACTGTTTACATGAATTTTCAAAATCAACTGCCTAAAAGATTTGAAGCAAAAGGTGTTAGGGCCTGAAAAGCAAAAGGTTTTTAATTCTCCAAGCCTGCTGCAGGGCAGGAACTGAAAGCAACTATCTCAGGACTGCAAGCTCAGAGTGAGGGCAAGGGGAAGCAGGTTTTAAACATAAATACAAATGTGAAATTCTAGTACCTTCGTGAAGAATGTACTGAAGTTTGCTGGAGTATAGCATGGAAAATGTTGCAGTTGTGCCTGCAGTGAGGCAGACATACGAAGAGAGTCTATTCTCCCAAGGGGTGCCAAGACATTCTAGTTTTACAAATTAACAATGTGTACGGTCTCTTGTGTGCAAGAGGGGGCACATCAATAACAAAACAAAAAAGCCAGTGAACTTATAGGGAGTCCATTACAAGAAACACCGCTGCTCTCTGTAGTTTAAAATCAGCTTTCCAGCTACTCAGCCTGGCAAACTTCCAAAAAGCCCTTTTCTACTCATATGCTGGCAGCGATTTCAGGAATCGTTAAACAGGAAGTGAATAAAAATATGGATAGCTTCAGTAAAATGGTGTAAAATAAAACAATACAACCAAGAAAACTTTTGCAGATTTTCAGTTTTTCGGGGCCAAGAAAGTTTTATCAACTGCGTTGAACCCAGAAGTGAAATATAACCTATATTCATGTATTCAAGTATCAGCACTTAAAAGTGCAAAATACAGAAGCTGTATGAATTAAGCTAACAACAGCTCTGTACCGAAAAAGTACAATTACAGCTTCTGTGTTTTTAAGCCCTTTATATTCAGCTATTTAACAAATGCAGCTTTCTCTTGTTTGTATGATTTGTTCAGTTAACACCTCCTACAATTCTGTAATTTCTGTGGAAGAATCAGTGCATTTCCAACATTAAGCTTTAAAGACTTCCAATATGCTACATCATGTTCACTTTCATAATTGACCAAAATTCACAAAAACTCCATGTGACAAACTCCCCAACCCAGACCTAAGAAAAGAGAGGATTAATAAAGTTCTACGTACATATAGATGCTTCAAAGTAACAAAATAACACAAAAATAATGTAAAATTGGACCCAAAACATCTGAGGTATATGCAAATGGTAATTCCCAGTTCAGTATCTGGACAGACATTAAACAGTCCATTCTGTCACACCATCTGCTAGGCAGTTACCAACCCTGCTCTGTTCTCTAAGCTATTTGTGCTTTATTTTTATTTTTAAGCATGGAACCATTCAACTTATTTGGAAGTCAGATAAAAGACACAGTGGTGAATTTAAAAAATAAAGTAATCAAAAAGTGATAGGCAGCAAAAAATCAACAACAAAAAAATCAAGTTTCAGATCAGTGGTAAGGAGAATTAAAAAATTACTTCTAAATGATTGCTTGAATTGCACTCCAAACAAGTTTATGTTCAGCATATACAGCAAGTCATGAAAGATTAAGCTTTGTTTTCAAAGAACAGCTTTGTTTAACAGAACAGTTACAAAATTTGGCAAAAAAATATTAATCTACATTATGGAAAAGAAACTGTGGGAATTATTCCTCTGTGTGCGTGTGTGCGCACACGCACATGTGCTTATATTCATGTATGGAACCATGAAGTAGCCCATTAAAGTATCACCTCAGACTATCACCTTAATCACAAGCCAAATGCCAACATAAAACCTTACCAGTACAACTGAACAGCAGGAAAGCAAAGATACATGCAGAGAACACAAAAGTCTCAGTCTACACCATGCAAAAAAACCACAGTATGGAAAATCACCAAGCTGCCCCCTTGGATCTGTGTTAAATCTACAAGACACAAGAGAGTGCTCACTGTGCAGATTTAACCCACAGTGTACACCCACTATGTGGATTTAACTGCTCCAGAGGTTGTCCAGAGTCATATAAAGAGCACAACGCAAGCCAGCTCATGTGAACCAGTTGCAAGAATCCCTGTGCTTGAGACTCCAGAGCACACTCAGGTCAGATGGGTTTGATGAAAACCTACTGCAGGAGATTCAACTGCAGAAGACCCACCGAAAGCTGTTTTTCAAGTTTACAAGCCATTTGTGACCAAAATGTGAATCTGAAAGACAATGCAAAAAAATCTATCCACTATGCATGGCTTTCACTGCGATACTCAGTGTAACATAGAAGGTGATTATTCACACATCTTGTTGATTGATACAACACCAACACTAAGGGGATGAGGTGCTTGTGCTTGCCCCAGGTTTTCTTCATTTGCAACTCAATAAAAACATGTAGTATTTTAGAAATTTGTAAGAGACATGCTGTTTTGCGCTGAGATAACTATGGTGAAGAAAAGAGAGAGTTGTGCTCATTTGTATTCATAGCTATTTAATATCTTACTAAAAAAAATACCCCCATGCATGGATATCGACTCTTAAAACCTCTCAAAAACTAATTCCTTGGTATAAGCCAAAACAAGACTGAGAAAAGTTTCTGTTACTAAAGCAAGCCAAAGAAGGCGACTCAGAAATGGAACTCTTTTTGAAGGAAAAACTATAAGGCTAGCTCAAATGCCAAGTTGAAAATTTGTTTGCTTTGCTTACTTTCAGAATATCTTGAGTTTCGTTCCACTTGTTTGTCCACTCTTTGGTCAATTCTTGTACCTATAAAAGAAAACAAATATTGGAAAAAAAAATCACATCTCTTCTAAAGTCCTTGATAACGCATTCTCAGAGAAGTACTAAATATTTGTGCAATTCTTTGTGAAGTTTAATACTTAAACATCTAGAAGAGCACTGTTGCTCCTGCAATAAGTGGCCATACCTACAATTTCTCTCTCTCAGAAAGGAAAAACCACAAGATTCTTATTTACAGTATAAAATGAAATGTAGGACAGGGATAGTCACTTCAAATAATGGCAGGCATTTTCAAAGAAATGGAATAATTCCATGAAGTGCTTCATCAGTCCTACAAAGTCTACTGCCACAGATTGATCCCTTAGTTCTAACAAGGCAACAGCTCCTTTCCTACAGCACAGGTATGTGTGTTCAATCTAAAATACCCCCAGAAATTGCAGAGGATGGCATGCAGAGGAAGAAGCAGACAGACAGCCCTCAGGACAGAATCAGAAGAGTTTGCTGCAACTTAGAAATTATGCACTTGCTTGAAATAAGCACAGAAGTGAGAAGCTGCTTGCAAAGGCATTACAGACAGGGAGAGCACTGCGTATGAACACTTAGGTTTTATCCTGCCTTTCCTACTCATCCATTCATCCATCTCATAACTTAACTTCCGTAGCCTCCATACTGGTAAAGGCTCTTTTCATTTCAGAGTCTTTCAGACTTCAGAAAGCAGTACATACAGGGTGCTTCAGGCAGATCCACCTCAAAGCTCTGTCTGACTTGGAATCACAATCACATCAAATAGAATATACATACATACACACACACTTTCATTTTTTAAATCATCAGATTGCTGTGGAGGAATTAAATACATAGGCTTTTAAAAACCTACACAATCTCTTATTATTTGAATTAACTTCAACTGCAGAAAGCTGGGCAAGAAAACCCAACAATAAAAAACCCCTATGTCCCTTTATTATTTTACATATAAAACTACTGTAGGAAAAAAGAAGTCTTCAGGTCTGCAATGCAGTTCCTCCAAACATCTCCACATTCACTACCTGCAGCCGATCATCCCAGCTGTCTTTGCAGATCAGCTGCAAATTAATCAATGGGAACTAAAAAAGCTTCTCTCGTCTCTAGCTGTATCTCAAGATTTCAACCGAGAAAAGTAAATACATCTTTCAATGCATATCAGTCCTTGTGCTGCTAATCAGAATGTTAAAAAATAATTGAAAAGATTAAAGAAAAACATGAAGGAGGTCCATAAGTCTATTCACCATACCAGGATAATTTCTATTCCTCAGAAATCATTTAAACATTGTTCTTATATAAGGACAAATCAATTCATTAAATAAAGCTGCCATATATTTGTCAGATAATTTAAATATAGTGATAAATTCTTTAGATCTGCACAAACAAATTATTGCACTCATTCAATTATAAAACAGCTATAACCACTGCAATATCTACTAAGAATTTTCAGTAATTACATCTCTTGTAATTATCATGGATAGTAATCACATAACCTTCTAATGAGGCTGACAAAAGATAATAAAATATGCTCGATATACTTCCCACATAGAAGGGGCCAACACTTCTGAGCAGGACAAGCCATGATTACTGTCAGAGCATGAATAACATACTCCCATTAGCATATAGTCAGCAGTTCATATTACTCAGCTACTCTTAGATAAAAGCTTTCTGTTTGTGCACAAAAATAAACACATACTACACATACTAACATATTATCATTCACCTCTGATTCAGTTTAAGAATTTTTAAAATCCAGTATGAGTACGAAAAAAAAATTTGCAACTGAAGGCTCATACTAGAGTTATGCAGTAAACATTAATTATTGAATACAATATATGCAGTAAGGATTCCTGCATATACTACAGAGTTGTAAAATGCATTCCTAGCAGAAACATAGCTTATGGAGAAGCCTGGACTCTGCAGCTCTGGTCTGCTTCATGCTAATACACCTGTCTCATCCATTTTTGTCATGAAGTTTATTTTTGAAGTATCACTTCACTAAGAAGTATTTCAACATGTCTTTAAAATTGGTATTACTAGGGGGAATCCTGAAGAGTACAGACAGATACCATACCATTTACTGAGATACAGGATTCTCAAAGCAATGCATTCATTCTCTAATTGTAAATGTTGAAGCAGCACCAGTGTAAACCTTACTGTTTAAACGATCTAAGAAGCCCCTATTTTTTAAAGGCATCATATCTACATTTGATTAGCATCTTCTTGACAATATTCAGAACTAAATATTTGCTTCCAGGTAGCTGAATGATTCTAAATACTTTCCTTTCTCCTCTTCCAAAGTCTGAGTAATACTATTTTTTTAAAACAGTTTGCAGTAGCTTTAAAAACAGGCAAGTGTACAAAAAAGGATTAACATGGAGTGATAGAATAAAGAATGAAAGACTGCAAATTAGACAAATGAGAGTACCATTATATCTATATCCTTTAGGACCCTTTGAGTTTATCTAGACTGCCTGGGAATTCTTCCCAGCCTCTACACTGGGCTGCATTAAAACAACTTGGTGTGAGGTACACTATGAAGTACACCTAGATCTTAGACCCTCCCCAAAAAGAGACAGCTAATTAGGCACTGAACATATTTGTTTACACCAAATTTTAAGACTGAAATTTTCTGAAAACCCCTGCCCCATAACACAAGTTACTGATTAATTGAAAACATAAAAGAAGTGACCATTTCCCCCACATATTTTTTACTGTATTTTCTACACACTAAATGCTTTGTTACTGTGATTACCTGTTACTAATTACTCTGGTTTAGTGGCTTTTTCCCCCTCTATTCTATTTACAAACATACTTTTTTAGTAAGGCAAGCTGGCCTGGGAACAAATATTTTCACTAAATCAAACTCTTATATAAATACCAAAGACATACTTTCTTCATAGTTATGTTTTCTTACATTAGTAGGATAACAAAATTTAAAGTTCACATATTTAAAAAGAACGCACCAAGACAAAATTGTCCGGTGGGAGAAGATCTAGTTGTGTATCAAAGAAAAAACATCCTGAGAGTTAACTCTTGCATCCAGACCACCCCTCGTTTTTTTTCTATCTAAAAGCTGTTTTATGAAATTGTAACTCACCCTTGCTTCATTCTGCTGAAGCTTTTCTTCCATACTTAAAGCTGTTGGAGAATCCAGGAGTGCGATCTAAAATTGTCAAAAGTAAACATTGCCAAGTTAAAAAAAATGAAGAAAACAAGTAAGAATTTCTGGCAGAGTCAAATGAAAGAAATGCAATTGTTCAACTTCTTTATTTTTTAGGATGAATTCTTTTGCACTCCAATATACATCATTTTACTTTGAAATACTGTAAACAGAGTAATCAAAATCTTGTCAAAGGAGATATTTCAAATACAAATCATCAGTTTGAGAGTACTATTTTCATTCACTATGTATACATATGGTCACACACATTCAGATACTGAAACCAGACACAAGTTTATAACAGGTAATTCCTGATACATCTACCTTATATTTCTGTTAAACATGAAAATTTGTTATGCATCAATAGTTAACCATTTTGCTAAAATATATTTGTATATTGCTTATCTTTAATAAATATTTATTAAGGTAACTAGCCTTAGAAAAGGAAAACTACTATACAATGTGCACACACACAAGCAGTGTTATGCGACCTTCTACACTGAATCCAGCACTATATTTTGGTATATGCTTCAGTGATCTACAGAAGCATTTGCAACACAATATTCTGGGAATATAAAGGAAAACCACAAAAGAAATTATATAGAGATTTATATTCTACTATGCATACAAAGCACCACCCGCTGTTTTATCAACCATCAAAAATTCAATTAACTTAAGCAAGTTCTCTATTGTCTCCCACACAGCCACATATCACATCCTACAACTGAATCAGATTTATTTTGTGATATCTACTGTTTTACAGCTTGGAACTAGGTCAAAGCATTAGATCTTCAAAGAGGTCCAAGTTACACCTACTTGGCTAACCCTAAATCAAACAATATTTCAAAAATAAATTAATTTTCCCCTCCTAAAGAGTATCGGAGAAACACACGTATAATAAAGTAACTCAACCCTATAAAGACTTTTCTAATTGTTTGTAACAAAGCAGAGCTCTCCACTTCAATCATCTACAGTACCTGTTACTGCTTCCAACTGTGGTCCTATCCCCTTTTTCAGCAAATGTTTTATAGCATGAGATCTAGCTGAAGTGCTAGTCTTCTATTAAAAAAAAAAATCTATGCTGAACTGACATTTCACTATGCACAGCCCATCCAAAATAAAATTAGATAGTTCTAGAAATAAATCTTAGGTATCCTTTCAGATACTTCCAAATCATATTTGCTCAAGTATGAAATCTAGCAGTCACGAATGACATTATTTAGAAGAGACAACTGGCCCAAGCCAATTGCATATTCCTTATTGTTAGCTTGGTTTCACCATCCTGGAAACAGAAGATAAATTAAGCCTAACTGAGCTTGTGCAGCAAGTGTTTATAGTGGCTAATACTGATAGAAGATCAAGAATCATGCAAAAGGCAAGTATAGCGCAACACATGTTTTCTTACACCACCACTGAACACTTATGTATTTAGCACATTACATGCTTTCTAATGTACTGTGAAGCCAAACACAAATAATATGTATTGTTTAAACCCATTCATACTCTCACATTTTTATATTTACACATCTTAGATACATAATATCTTCTATTTCTTTTAAGATACTAGGTAAAGTACCCCTTCAGTCCATCACGCTAGACCCAGAAAATAGGTTACTGCGCCGTCTCCTTACGCTGTGGTGACTACCTGTTCCACAGCACATTGCAATCATGCTCTGATTATATTAAGAGAAAGCTAAAGGCTTTAGGATGACAATTTTTCCCCCCTTATGTTAAAAGAGGTAATCTATTGGCCATATGGAAACTGATTCAATCAGGAAAATAATATTCATTCATAGCCTCATAGAGCTTGTTTACTCAAATCAATATAATGAAAGATAATTATCTCATTATGTTCTAGAAATAGATGTTATAACTCAAGGAAAATTACACATAAATTTCAAGTAAAGCTAACCTGATTCCCTTGAGCAAGCAGAGCTTTTAATCGGGCTATTTCAGCTCTCAGCTCACGGATCAGTTTGACGTTAGGATCCTCATTAATAGTAGGCTTGTTGATGATGTTTTTGGCTCTATTTGCATAGCGAAGTGTACTTAAAGTTTCTCCGTAATTGACATCAGCAGGTGAAATAGCTAAGGAGATGAAATCAGAAACAGTTTATTCAGCACCATATGTTTCATTTAGTAAAGTTAGCTTATACTTTAAAAGTCAGATAAACCTAATGTGGATGAAGAGACAGAAATGTATGATTAACCAGCATGGCTACAATTTGTTCCAATTCTTCACCTAGCTCCACTGCTTTCACGTCACTATAACTTTGCTCAAGTAAACACTGTATTAGAATAATCAGGTCCAATCATCAAGCATTGTAAAGGAATCTTGCTGTCAATCTACTTAACATTTACATTTCTCCAGTAAGCATAAACGTCCTATGTCAATACTTTACAGGCTTTCTTGTGAATTTTTTTACAAGAACAGTGAATATTTTGAAAGTATCAACATAATCACTGAATGGAGAAGTCACTTCAGGTAAAAAGACAGTAGGTTCAGTCTAAGTTTTAAAGGGAAATTAGCATTCAAAGAAAAAGGAGACATGAAAAAACAAGAGAAGAGCTTCTGTAACTTACAAACCTAGCTGCTCTGCCAAGCTGCAGGCATCTGGCAGCACACAGAACTGTTACCTATCTGATGCATCAAGAGAAACCAGTAGTATTCTTACAGACAACTTAACCAGAAAAAACAATGCAGTTTAAATGAAGGTGATAATGCTATCCTTCACTTAATTTTCCTAACAATATACAAGATGTTCCCAATTAAAAAGATAATGACTGCATCCAAATAGATGAGCAAAAACAGAAGAGAACACCATGCATAAGTGATGAGGGACCAGAAATCTTAATAATCAAACTGAACAAGAGACCCAGAGAATCAATCAGTGAAAACACATGAAAAAATAAACAAGTAACTGAAACATTCTGCCCTTCCTCATTCTCTCAACAGTAATAAATATTCTTTTTGTGGTACAGACTCCCTGAATTAGACGAGATGCACTTGGCAGACTGTAGTTCCCCTAGCTCACACTATCACTTCCCTACTTTATCTACTGTCTCCTCTTCACTACTCAATTATTCTCCTTCTGGAAAGATGTTAGAATACATTATAGAAATATGACAAATCAGAATTGGATGGTTTTTTATAAGAGCCCTTCCTACAGTCTGAGATGATCTTTCTGCTTTTTTTTGTGTTTAGTTACAGAAAAGGCAGGCCAAACGTATGTGGACAGCTTGTCAGGCTCCGTCAAGCAATTCAGCTACATCACCAGCGGAGTTACCATTGGAGAAAAGATCAACCGTCAGGGCTCTGCCGAGCAGAAGCATCATTAATAGATGAGGAAGTAGTTGAAAAAGCAGCTGTGCACTGTAATCATTAGTATGGGCACTGAAAGCTCACTGTGTTTCTAAAACTTCTCCCAATCCCTCTGTTACAAAAAACCTCCAAGTTACTCAACCATGTAACTGGGGGGGGGGGGGGGGAGGCACAAGCA